CTTTTTTCTTAGCATCTTGAATCCTATTTTATTTGATGTTATAAATTTGCTTTCTTTTTGTTCACATTTTTCTTATCTTTTTTCGTTGTTTTGATTTTTAATCTTTTGTTTATTCCTCCCTCTTTTTTAAAATTATACTTTAAGTTTTGGGGTGCATGTGCAGAATATCCATTTCTTCTAGATTTTTCTAGTTTATTTGCATAGAGGTATTTATAGTATTTTCTGATGGTAGTTTGCATTTCTGTGGGATCAGTGGTGATAACCCCTTTATCATTTTTTAATGTGTTTATTTGATTGTCTCTACGTTCTTCTTTATTAGTCTGGCTAGTGGTTTATCCATTTTGTTGATCTTTTCAAAAAACCAGTTTCTGGATTCATTGATTTTTTTGAAGTGTTTTTCATGGCCCTGTCTCCGTCAGTTCTACTCTGATCTTAGTTATTTCTTGTCTTCTGTTAGCTTCTGAATTTGTTTGATCTTGCTTCTCTAGTTCTTATAATTGTGATGTTAGGGTGCCTATTTTAGATCTTTTCTGCTTTCTCTTGTGGGCATTTAGTTCTATAAATTTCCCTCTAAACACTGCTTTAGCTATGTCCCAGAGATTCTGGTACATTGTATCTTTGTTCTCATTGATTTCAAAGAACATCCTTATTTCTGCCTTTATTTCATTATTTATCTAGTAGTCATTCAGGAGCAGGTTGTTCAGTTTCTATGTAGCTGTGCAGTTTTGAGTGAGTTTCTTAATCCTGAGTTCTAATTTGATTGCACTATGGTCTGAGAGACTGTTCATTATGATTTCCATTCTTTTGCACTGCTGAGGAGTGTTTTACTTCCAATTATGTGGTCAATTTTAGGATAAGTGCAGTGTGGTGCTGAGAAGAATGTATATTCTGTTGATTTGGGGTGGAGAGTTCTGTAGATGTCTATTGGGTCTGCTTGGTCCAGAGTTGAGTTGAAGTCCTGAATATCTTTGTTAATTTTCTATCTCATTGATCTGTCTAATATTGACAGTGTGGTGTTAAAGTCTTCCACTATTATTGTGTTCCGGGAGTCTACGTCTCCTTGTAGGTCTCTAAGAATTCTCTTTTTTTTAGACCCAATCTCACACTTTCTATTTTAAGGGATAGACGAATCTAACCTATTTATGTTTATTACGAGAAACAAAATGTTTGTACCTTCTTTTGCCAGCTTATTTTTTTTTTCCTTTCTCCTATTTTGCCCCATTTGCTCAATTGATCACATTTAATTTTTAACTTTTTTTTTTGGTCTTAGGTTTCAGAAGCTATACTTTCCACGTCTATTTTGTTCCATTTCTATTCAAACCCAAGAAACGCACAACAAATAAAGGGCTGAGAAAACTAGACTTAAAGTGAGTTCTCAACAGTGGAAACAGACCAGGCTGATCAGCAAAGAACGTGGCAGGAGTTTTCATGACTCAACATTCCAAGCAGAAGCTAAAACCACTAAGGTTTAAAAAACCTGGAAGCATTTACTTGTGAAACTGTGGTATCTGCCTGCTGGAAACCCTCAGGGACAGGTGCTGGGAAAAGCTGGAGGGATAAGGACCTGCACTTTCAGGTTCTGCCATGACGTGCCTTTGCCTGGTCTTTCCATCTGAGCTTGTGCAAGCTGCTTCCTCCTTCTCCATCTTGAACTGTCTTGTCTCTATGCTGTCTGTCCTCTGCTGACCCTCCTGCCAGCAAGATGGGGAGAGGAGAAGAGATAGGGCTTTGGAGAGAGAACAAGGAATGTGGGCTGGGAGTGATTCTCCTCCTGTGATGTGAGCTCTGTGCAGCATCAAGCATGGCTAGATATCCCTCTTCCTGACAGTTACATCTGCTGGTGCAGCCCGTCCGACAGTGCTGACCGCCTGGACCCCCGTCACTGCGAACAATGAGCAGGGCATATTTTTCCAGGAACCAGATATTGAGAATTAGTCTATTACATGCAGTTCATGCAATTAAATAGAAATTTGTGAGGCTATTGTGCCAGCAGCTGTGCAAGTTTGAGATCATACTGTATAAGCTGAATGAATCAAACTGACTGACAGTTGCCTTGAGATTGGGAACCTGGGCAGTGGGGCTGCCATGGAAGCCAGGCTTTGTTGTGGAAAATGGGGAGAAGTTTTAATGTCCCAAAAGGCTTTGGGAGTGAGTACCAGCCAGGCTCAGAGAGGCCACAAGAGTTCTGGGCAGATGCTGGCATCTGTTGAGAGACACTGGCCTCTCTCACGATCCAATGGCTTCAGGGCTGCTCTTGTGTCCAGGCTGGTGACTGCGGATGTCCATGCCTCCATTTTATTAGTGGCTTCCACCAGAGGTTGTGGAGGTCTGGAAAACATTGCAGGGGAGGAAGAGGAGTGTCTGGCTCAGGAATTTCAGGAGATGGAGGTTTCTTATGGAGCCAGCTGATGGGCGAGAGCTCCCAGGGCCACCTCAAGGCTCAGTATAAAGAATACATGGGGAAACCTGTGGCAGAGGAGGCTCTGTCCATGTGTGGCCTGGGTGGCCTCAGGGTCACGAACACTCAAGCTCTCCTGCATCATAAAGCCCTGCTCCCATGAGGCAGTGGGCTGAGCCAGGAGGAGGGTAACAGTAGTGGTCCACTACTGGTAACAGGGCTCTGAAAGGCTGGGGGCAACTTTGCAACTCTGTTCACAGTAATCAGAATGACAGGATACCAGCAGGTCACTCAGGAAAGCCAGGACACTGCTGAAGGGCCAAGGCAGGTCTACAAAACTGGGAGGCCAGAAGGAAATGATAGTAGGGAACCAGAGGTGTGGCGCCCACCTAGGGGTGAGCCTAGGGGGCAGCTGGGGGCCAGGAGTCAGAGCTGGGTGGGCTTGTGGGCTCAGATTTAAGTATCCAGTGTGCTGGGATTTGTACCCAGTTATGTGTATGTTATACAATTTAACCCCTAGCTCATCCTTGTGATGGAGGTAATATTGTCTCCATTTTATAAATGATAAAATCTAAGTTTTAAAAAAATGGACTCCGCCAAGCCATTGTAAACAAATGTGAACCTGGAACAGCCAATGATGAGTCCCCAGGGGCTAACTGGACCTAAATTTAAAATAGAGCCAAATGGCCACTGGCTGACCCTATCGGGATCACACACATACTCTGCTTTCCCCAAAGACCACACTTCTGTTTAACTTCGGGACTTTCGGAGCTTGCCTGAACCAACCAATCAGAGTTCACCTTAACCAACCAACCTGAACTCACCTTCCAGAGCTCAGCTGTATCAACCCTCAGAACTAAATGAGTCTGAATCCTTCATTTGCATAAACAGACCTGATTGGGAACCTGGGCTTGCAGTTTGCTGTAAAACCCTCCCTTTGTTCTCTGGAACACACCTTCGCCTTTTACAGGGAAGCTGTGTCTCCCCAGTTTGCAAACTGTTCACTGGAAGAAAGTCTCTTTCCTCAATATTCCATTTCAGAAAACCTTTGTTCATACTGCACAGCTAGCGTGCCAGATCTCGTTCAGATCTAGCTGACTCTAGAGCTCCTATCTGGCTTACTTAACTACTCAGAGTTCTTCTCCTTCCTCATACGATCAAGGAGGCTAGACAACATCAGGGTTTTCTGAGTCTACCTTCAAGAATTTTGTCTTCACGTTTCATCTGTGCTATTACATGTGTAGAAGTTTTCCTGAAGCAGTCTTACTTCTAATTAATTTATTTTTATTGTGGTTACATATGTGTAATGAGAAGTCTACTATTTGAACCAATTTTAAGTATATAGGTCAGTGACATTAAGTACATTCACATTGCTGTGAAACACTTATTGGTTAGGTCACTATACAGTATTTCAGAAAGGAAAACTTGATGTCTTTATTCCAAGTGGGAACCAGAATTACTTTCCACAGAGGTAGCCATTGGAATGAACAGAACGAAGGCAGAAAGTTATTAATGAGCAGCCAGTTCCTGTTGCACTGAAGGCTCTAAGTAAGATGAGGCCTGTTTCCTCCTACTCCTGGGCCCCCGTATTTTGTTTGAAAGGAGGATCCAAGTGGTTGAGAAGTGTAAAAGTAGGCTCACAGGGTTGACACTTCTTCCTTGTCATGCTCAGAAGAATTGAAAGGGGAGAGATAGGGACATTTTCTCATGCCCAGCTCTCTCTTCATCCCTTGCCCATCCAAGAGTCCCCTCTCTGCCCCCACACTGTGTGGGCGGCTGAGATGTGAACCAGGCCCTTTCCCAGCAAGATTCCATGACCTCTGACCCCAAAAAAGGAGATCTGCCTACTCTGACTAGGATCCATGACTGGAAGCAGCTTTTGGGACAAGTCCTTTAAGGCTCCTTCCTGTTTTTTTTCCCCCAAGAGATACCCTTTCTCTCTCTAAAGCCGTCACAGGGACTGGATTGCTCAAGTGCTACTGGCCCAAGTGTCTTTGGTGGCAGCACACAGAGTACCTCATTAGGACATTTGCATGGATGGCTGTGACGAGGCTACCCCGTGGTGGGCAAGCCTACCAGCTGCTCTGAGGGAATAAACTTAGTGCAATTTGGGGAGAAAGGCAGACATTTAAAGCACCTGCTTAAAACGTGGGTCTCACAGTGTTAGACACAGAAACCCTATGTGGGGTAGGCGCAAGGGCTTCAGAGTGAGCCAGGTTTCAGTTTGAGGCTAGATGTGCTTGGTGACCCATTTTCCTGCAAGATAGAAGTAACAAAATGTGTGCATGTATGTCCTTCTTGGAAGCATGAAGGGGCCAAAAAGAACATTGAAGAGCTGTTTTCTTAAGTTGGACAGGGATGTTCTCTATCAACATTCTAAGGAAACATTTTCATTGCAGAAGTTGTAGGCATGTTTCAGTAAAACAGACTGTGATACCAGGAACATGGGGGAGAAGAATGAAAATTAGTTTGGAAATCCTGGCGAAACGTCACTGTGATGGAGTCAGTGGCTTTGTGGCTTCCTTCCTTCTCCTGGGCATGGTTTTCCCTCCCATAGAGCCCTGCTGTGATGCCCACAGCACACCAGACATGCACTTCTCACCTGGGGCTTGATCTCGTCTTTGTCCTTGTAGTAGAAAAGCTGATCCCCGCGCAGCACAAACCAGCGCTGCTGCCAGTTCTTCATGATGCTCCTTTGCTTCTTCAGCCAGCCTGCCTTCAGCACAGGGCCCGGCCTGTGCGGGCACAGTGGCCTCCTGGGGCTCCGGCTCTGCTCCCCCATCACCAGGCTTTTGGAGCGAGCTGAAAGCCAAGGACACACACAGTGAGCATGAAGACAGCATGCCTGCTGTCAGTCCTGCCCCTGTCCCCGCATCCCAGCTGCCTCATGACTGAGGCATGGGAGCCCAGGCCAGCAGGATGTGAGCAGCTGGGCCTACTTCCCCCTGGCATCAAAGGAGCATGGGTTGGAGCATCTGTGCAGCAGCCCGCAGTGATCCCGCTAGGGTAGGGTTATAGCCTGCCTACCTGGTTAGTTTCTGCTTCGTCTCTGGGATCCTGGGTTCTTCATTCCTCCAGGTTTGCTTATCCATGCATCCATGCATCCATCCATGTATCCATCCATGCATCTGTCCATGCATCCATCTGTTCATCCATGGATTCATTCATCCACCCATTCATTTGTTCAATGATTCATTCATTTATTCATTCAGCCATTGTTTATTTATTTCTTACTATGTGCATAGAACTGTTCCAGTTTTCCTGGGGGCAAAGTAGTGAAATAAAAAACAGATAAACATCTGGGTCCTCTTGGAGCTCACAGTCTAGCAGGGTTCCTGTTGCTCTGGTCCAGAGGGAGCTGGCCCCACCCAGATCTGGTTTCTGCTCCACCCCTTTCCTCTGGAGGCATCAGACCCCCCAAAGCCTTCGTATTGCTTCCCTGGGACCATCCCACAGTGGGGCCTCTGCTTCAGCTGTTTGCTGTGGCTTGTTGGCGGCTGTCTGGCATGGCAGAGGGGCCAGTATTCCTACCCCAGAGCCTTTAAGTGCCCGGGAGCCCTGAAGGTCCTTCTTCTGGTTGGTGGTGCAGCCACACCCTAGCAGGGTTGGTGCTGCTCTTCACAGGGATGACTGAATTCTTGTCCCCTCTGATCCGATGCTTCTCCTTCTGCCACCCCACCCTTCACTCTCCTCTGTCCTCAGGAAAGCTCCTCTCCTCTCTCTGGCCAGTGTCAAGACCATTGCCACAGTGATCACTAAGAGGTGCCATCTTGAACTCTGGAGAAATAATTCTGAGTTCAGATATAATCACACCTGTAATTCTTAGACCATGGATCCTAACTTGTGACTGGGAAACACAGTGCCTATGACCCACAGTTCTTGCACTATAGCTGCGATTCTGTGTGTGTCTGCTCTTCCCGCTACACTAGTGACTACAGCTCCCTAAGCCTGGCCTACCCTCTGCCCATGAGGTTCCACTAGCCTGGACCTTTCTTCCATCCCTCTCCCATCTGTACTCTGGCATTAGCTGCACAGTGAGCTCCTACTCATTCTTCAAGAGCCAACTCAAATGACACCTCCTCCATGGAGCCTTCCTTCTGAATCTCCTCCAAACAGTTACTCCCTCCCCCACCAAGACAGGTGGCCTGTGGCTGGTGATCATCTGTGTGGATGCCTTTCTGCCACTCTGGACTGAAGGGTGGGGACTGAAGGAGATGATGTCTCACCTAGTTCCGTATGTATGTCCTCATCACTGTGCAGGGCAGGGAAGAAATGTAAATCATGTTGGCCAAATTATCACCTGATACTTAGGGTCTTCCTTATTGTCAGGTATTTTTGTATCTTAACATGACATTAAATACCACATAGCACTCAGGCAGTGTCTGAGGACACATTATAGCTCGGTATTCCCACCTTCACCTCAAGTGTCATATGGCCTGGGGTGTAATTCTGAATCTATCACTTTTACATCGGCCTCTGTTCTGGAAAGCTCCTGCTCATGGACAGCAGCGGCATTCACAGGAGGCCTCATCTCTTCTCCCTGGCACCCAGGTAGCTGTGCTAGCTCTATGGGTACCACTAGCCACCCTGGTGTCAGACCGTCTAGGTTCTCACTCGCTCCGCCTTCATTCCCTATTGCCATCCCTCTGCTGCTGGAGAGGTTGGGGTTGAATGCCCCATCCCTGCCTTGGCTGTGTTTTGGCCCAGAGAGGAAGTGGTTGTTTGCATGCTTGCCCCTGTACACTGAAGCTGGATTGGTGATTCCTCAAGACAGTGGGTTTTTTTTCCAGAGACTAAAGGGAAGGCAAATCAGGGAGCTGAGTGTGGATCACATAGCCCAGGCCTTTCAATGAAAACAACCCCCTCTGAAGCCCAGCAGTGCCCTGAGCCTGGGCTTGCGCTCCACCGGATCTGTGTTTCAGAATGATCAGCACTTTTGTCGCCTCCTCTCTGTGGGGCTGTTCCCCAGGCTTGTTCATGTGGATTTAGAGTGTGCCTCCCTCCTTTATTTCTATTGCTGGTTACTATCCCTGCAAATGGACACACCATACATTACCTTTAGATTCTCACATTGATGAGTATTATCATTCTCCTCAATGTGAGTTATTTAATTAAAAAGGTGATGGGACCCAACTGAAGAAATACAGGCTTTGAACTAAGGCTTGAGTGCATCACTGCCAGCTCTGTGAACTCTCTGTGCCTCAGCTTGTTAGTCAGAAAACTGGGCCCACATGAGATGACAGCATCTCACCCTGCAAGGCAAGTTGGCGGAGGGGAGACACTGTAACTGCAGAGTGCTTAGATGCGTGGGTGCTTAGTAACAGGTTACTATGGTGATGAGGATTAGGATAATGGTGCAGTGGATGTCTTGATGCAGAATTTGTTTCTTAAAGCTGGGGTTCCAGCAGTGAGGTCACGGGGCAGAGCATGGACTTTCCGCTGGCCTCTGGCCCTTTAGGTGCCGCTACACACTGCCTTCTAGAGATGGCATGTGGCTATATTCCACCACACAATTATGCTAGTGCACCACTTTCCCCATCACCACCAACATGAAATATTGTAATTTGAGCATTCCTGCTCCATAATTTAGTAGGTGTAAAATGACACATAGTTATTATCTTAACTGTTCTGATTTTTGATGATTAATCACCTGGAACATCTTTGCATGAGCTTCTACTCATTGTATGAGATGTCTGCTCACTCCCTTTGCCCATTCAGCTCATTGCCCACTGCAGGAGGAGCACTGACTCAAACTCAGTGACATAAAAACCCAAAGTCCTGGAGGCCCAGAGCTACCAGGCCCCCTTCCCCACGCCACAGGAGCCCCAGACCTTCCTTGCAAGTCTCCCTACAGCCTGGAATCTCCAGTCACCTACAGCACCATGTACTGCATCTGCGCTGCACAGCCCTGGCTGCTCTGTAACCTCAGCAACACTGCATGGAGGACACAGACTTGGAAGAAACCGCCTGCCCAGGTAAGGATGAGCTGAGCCTCTGATGAGACAGGTGGGGTTGTGCCAGAAGAGACCCAACAGCATCAGAAGGGGTCTTTGTGCGCCAGGGCTGCCCCCTCCCCTTTTCCTCTGTCCTCTCATCTCAAGCCGGTGAGGGGCTGAGCAGGGCTGGATTCAGCAGCATTCGCCAATCCCTTTCCAGGGTGGGGGCTGCATCAGGCCTTGGGAGGTGGAGCTGATGCACATGATGTGATAAGGGTTATCAGGACCCCAGGGCTCAGATGGAGCCTGGCAGAGGACTGAGGAGGGCAGGGACAGGTGTGTCCTTTTGGTTACTAAGTTTTCTTGTCTGGGTCTCAATTTGCTCATCCCTAAAATTCCTTTAATGGGTTAAGAATCTGGTCAAATTAGGTCAGCAGTGCCCGGGCTTTTGTAGTTTAATCATGTGAGATTGCTACCATGAGATTGGACAGATGTTGTTTCCCCTGGGGGCGAGGGGTCTCTGGAGCTGGTGGGTTGGCTCAGGCCTCCACTGTCTATTCTTGATTTTTCCTTTATCTTTTATCAGAGAATCTTCAAGGGCTAAGGAGAACCTCTTGTCCTTCCACAGATGTTTGCAGAGCACCCTCTGGGGTCTCCAGTGGGGACTGAAGTCATGGAATGCTCTAGGGCTACCTTCCTGATTCTGTCTCTTGTCTTCTATTACAACAGGGCCTGAAGCAGGCTCAAGAAGCGCTTCCAGGACCAGGAATGCACCTGCTCTTCCTTCCACATCCCCTATAGCATCGTGTGCAGGGCTGGAGCACATTAGGAGCTCCACAAAAACTCGGGGACTCATCAGCGCAGCCCGACTCCTCTGAGGGCTGCTGCACTGTCTGTCCTGGCAGTGAGCAATGTTGCGAGGTGCTCTCTGTCCAGGCATGCCTGCCCCAGGAAGGGTGAGCTCCCTGTGCACAGCACCATGGACGCTGAGCCTGGCTGAGAGCAGGATCTCATGCAATCAATGTGTAGCTGACTGCTGAACTGGCCTGTAGCTACCTCAGTGTGGCAAGACAAAGAAGGTCAGCATACTCTGTGCCCTGATGCCCAAGGCCCAGGCATCAGGCCTCCTGAGAGTTTCAGGTAAGGAGGGAGCAGGTATGAGGAGCCATGTTCACTCAGGGCAAGGGAGCTGGCAGGCAGGATGCTCTGGCTGGTCTCTATTTCAGTAGATGCAGGCATCCCTGAAGGTTCCACCTGCCCCACCCTGGAGGAGAGGAAAGGCTGGCTCCAGCCCCTCTGACAGGGAGGCACTTCCTGCAGATGCTTCTGAAGCTGCCAAACCAGCCTAGGATTTTCCCCAGCTGATCAATCATATACATATTAGGCTGATGGAGCTTCTTGAAAGGAAAACAATCATTCCTATGATTTATTAATAACCACTGCTCCTGTCATCAGCACTTCCTTTAATCAATTTATTTGGTCCTGTTAATATTTAAACCAGGCCTCAAGTCAAAAAGCTCTAGCATTCTAAGGCTCCAGAATGGATCCGAGTTTCTGGAGGGGCGCAGAAGCAGGCCCCAGGCAAGCTCAGGACCCAGGGGAGGACAAGGGTGGCCTTCCCCCTCCACTCTCCCCAAAGGTGGCTCTTCCACACACATGCAGGACCATCTGTTCACTCATCCATTTGTTCCAAATCTATGGAGCTCCTCCAGGTACAGAGCCCAATTGACTTGATAATGTTCCCGGGGCGGGGGGGAGTCCCCTCAGTTTGGCAGGGGAAATAAATCACAACCATCATGTAAGGACAAAAGAGCACAGGCCTGGTGGGGCAGGCAAAGGCTGTGTGTGGATGCTGACCCTGAGGTG